AACACACACACACACACACACACACACTCTCTCTCTCTCTCTCTCTCTCTCTCTCTCTCTTTCTCTATCAGGTTAATCGCATTTTGTCAGCAGGAAAATATTTTCCCAGTTTTCATTCTATATTTTTACAATCGCGTATTTACATACACATTCATGTGTATGTAAATGTTTCGTTTACTTACTTGAATGGCCGCTTGAACCAAATCCCGATATTGTTTCAAATAGATTGTAAGCGTATGCGGGCCGTATATCGTCGATGCACCTTCGTATCTCTGTACCTGCAAATTAATAATTCAACGAGTATTATGCATTATGCATTGGAATACGTTCGATTATAGACTCGAGAGGTGCAGAGAGGTTTATCAAATCGAGATTATTCCGATGAATTTGCATGCTACTTATTGCCTCTATTTGCCAAAAGAGAGACCGAGATGTGCGAGATCGAGAAATTTTTTTGTCAGAAGCATATTATAAAAATCGACAATTCGGCACGTTCCGTTGTGGAGGCCCACAAAGTGCGCCTCAAGCGAGTGCTTATGTTTAGTAATAACAATGAATACTTTACTTGATATTCCTCAGGCGTTGTTATGTAATCACTGTAAGTATTGCAGAGTCCTGCGACTATTACAAATGTTTCTTTGTCGGGCGCGTTCATGGCTGTCTTGATAGCCTCTCGCAATCTTCTTCCGGACATTGTCGTGAATTCGCCGGGCACACCGGCAATGACGACGTCTCCGATTACGGCGAGTTGCGTCGAAATGATTTTCGGCTGCCACTGATAGGGGAAGATCATCTAAAATTGAATAGAATCTAATTACTAGTAAACGCTCCGGAAACTATTTTCCTTAAAGCAACATTGAACATAATTACGATACATTAAAAGGATGCATATAAATTGATATTTAAATTAAAAGTATAAGGAAAACAAATAAAATATTAATTAAGTAATATATACATTATTGGGTGTGTATGTGCATAAATTACAGTAGTATGAGTTTCGCATAACTATTACACATATATATATATATATATATATATAATAAATATAGTAATATAATATATTTGTTAAGTAATTAATAACTAATAAAAAAATAAATTAATTATATTACTATACGACGCGCGCGCGCGTGTGTGTGTGTGTGTGTGTGTGTGTGTGTGTGTGTGTGTGTGCACGTAAAAAAAAATTATATATAGTATACTTAGTCTCCCAATTAGCATCAGTGGCTACTGGTATCCAAACTTCGTTATCTTCTAATTTCTCTATGGTTAAAAACGTACTATCAGTCATTAAATTATTACGAGGATGACCGGCAATCTGCAACAGAAATAAAGACGCCATCGTCGTAGTTTCGCAGTTCTTTCTTTCTTTTCGAGCCATTATTGCTGAACTTCAATTGTCGATCAAACGCAGAAAGTTACTATATTTACTCGAAGATAAACGAGAAACTCACTGTTTCCACCTCAAAATACGCGCTCTGTTTGGAATAAAATCGCGAAGCGACGTGTTTTACATACCGCAGAGCCGATAGCGGAAGCAGCATTCGCGCGAAAGGAGTTTTCTCTGGCGATCAATACGCGACAAGAATGAAGGAATTTTGAACTATCCTCCGCGCGTAAGTTACGGACTGCGATTCATTTGTACCTGCTTTCACGATGCATCTCGCACCTCCGCCACCGGAAATTATAGCCAGAAGGTAATTTACGATTACTTAATCCGTTCGCATCGCGTCACCGAAGGCAACCTATTTTCCGAGCGTTACGCGAGCGCGCGGGAAAAACGTCGCGTTGCTTTTTATTGCGTGACTCAATCGCGATAAAAACGCGGATCTGCCACGATTAACGAATGACGATTTCCGCTCATAAAAGATCGGCGCGGCAATTCGTTCTCGCGTTCATTCATCGAATCAAGGGAAATGCAGCCGTTCGTTAGAAAATCTTCTCTAAAAAGAAAAAAGTATTGCGTAATAGTAAAATAAGCAATTAAATAAAATAGAAAGAAAATAAATAAATATTCAAATAAAGTAGAGATTTTGTTGTCATTTTTTAGTAAAGCGGTCCAATAAAATATGTGCATACATATAGATACATGTGTATGTGCATATTCGCATGGATATATATATGCTGAAAATTAATTAATTCCATACAAATATGTTTAGTGATTGGGTATCATTCTGCACATTCAATATATAATCAATAACTTGGTTAATAGTTTATATCTTTTATAATAATTATTCTCACTTTATATTATATTCATAATTATATATACATATATATAATCGAATAATTGCGTCTGGCATTACACGCAATTCTGTGTTAATTTATGGTAGATCAAAATCATTTAACACTTGTGTATTTATACGTTATTCACTCATGTTATATAAGCCGACATAACCTTGAGCTGAGGGATGAAGAAAAAAAGAACGAACAAGAAATAGCCCCACTAAGACACTCTTTTGTTCGAATTTTTGCCGTGACGTTTCGCGACAAGTTCGTAATATCGTGGTCGGCAATGCTTCCGTTTCCGCTACAGGGAAAATTCCATTATAAGATTAATCATTAAGAAACTAGAATAGATGATTAATTCGATGTACTTATGTGTTTTCTGTTCTCTTTCTTTAAAAAAAAAATAATAATTTAAAAATACACAATGTGATTACGTTTAATTAATTTTTTTTTATTTCACGATGAGCATTGTCTTGAAATTCAGAAAAGTAAAAATTATTCGACACGAAGACCCAGTCTGCCGATGGGAGCCATCTATTTGTTTGAACAACATATGTCGGCTGTAATTATCATTATTGTTATTTTTTTTTATTTATAATAACGACGATGTCATAATTCGCGGAAATATACAATATGGAATCTACCAGTATTTCACGACTACCGCATTTCCACGGTTTAGTTTATATTGTCGCGAATTCGCAAATTTTCCTGTTGTCGCAGCGGGCGGCCTTGGCTAACGGCATTAGTTTGTCCGATTCGCAATGTGTTGTGCCGCATTAAAGGTTCATTATTGCGGTGTTTACAGACAGTCAGTGTGCACGG